TGGGTAGCATTAAAATATCACTGGGGGGCACTAGTGCCCCGTACTTTGTATGTTAAAATGTGCTATGGGTATATAGTATGTATTACATATTTACATTATTTTACCACGGATAAAACTATACAATATAGATATTATTAGAAATATCTTTTTATTATTTTATAATATAAATAAATTTACAATCTGTATTTTTTTTTACTAGGTTTGGAGGCTTGACTGAAGGGTGCGTGGTGCGTCCATTGACGCTACTTCAAACGGGGTTTTTTTTGTTATTATTTAGCGAAGTAAATCACGAGGCCAATTTCGTTTTAGTCGACGGGAAGGGTTATCCGGGAGAGTCTTAGAGGAGAGGTTAGAAATTAGCGGGTTTGAATGATTATTTGTTTTAGAATGAAATTTTTTATAGTGTATTGAAGGGAGGGTGTGAAGAGTTGGAATGTTCAGGTCTTTATGGATTGTATGATTACTAACATACCAAGGTGCATTTGTCAGAAGACGGAGATGTCGGAGACTAATCGACTGAAAGGAATCAGAAATACCTATTATTTAAATGTTCCCCTACTAATCCCTTCACGTCCTAATCATGCATGACCATTGACCGGCCACCCTTTCAACCCACTCAACAATTTATGTCTTAATAGCAATATCCGGTATTCGTAAAGAATTATCTTCGTAGAACCATTTACCACCACCTATTAAAATTACATCTAAATGATGTTGATATTCAGTACATTCTAGAGCCRACTGTTTGTTATAACAAGTATCTGTAAACAATATCCTATCAGTGTTAGCACAATAGATTAACATAAAAAATTGTATAGTTGTAATACTAATCTGAGGTATTATTGTTGGCATCATATATTTCGTAATACGCATTTCTTAGGTCTTATCATGACAAAATCTATTTTGTCATGGGTCTTATATTATATAGGTATGTATTGAAATAAGATGTATAATTATTTAACACTTATACGACACCTACGGTATTCAATAAAACAGAAAATTCACATATTTTAAAACGTAAATTATTATTATTTTTATGTATTAAAATTAAGTGGTCCAACATATATAATATATAACTAATTAATTATTTTTAAACGCGTGTTWTTCTGTTGGAAATTATTAAGAACACTTAAATTATGAAACTATTAATACATTTTTAAAGTATGTAGGTAAAATGTAATAACTATCAATACACATATTACGTATTAACCTTTTTAGTACTTTTTTTCTGATATTCATAAATACTATGTATATACAAAACCACAAAGATTAAAACTTGAAACGTATAAGGTTATTATTTAAAACGTTGAAATAATTTAGTTGTTTTTAAAATCTCTACTTATAGTATAGCAATATACTAATATACTATAGGATATAGTAATAGTCATTAGTCAATATTATTTTAGCAATTAAATATAATAGGAATATCCAATCGATAGAATGTAGTTCCCTGTATATGTATATTTTGTAWAGGCATTATTGCATTAACGTTGGTAAAATTAAAATACTGAAATACAAAAACACACTATTTTAATATAAATCAAAAATTATCTTTAATTGATCACCTGCTAAAACAATATATTAGTTTTTATATACTCTTTATATTAAAATTTTCAGTGTCGTATATAATCGTGCTGTATGTAATATGATTTTTGTTTTATATTGTACCTAACTTTTGTTTACAATGTTTACATCCTTCTTAAACGCAATATCATTACGATAATCTATTACCTACCTCGTAGTACTTTAACTTTAAATTCAACACGAACCTATTTATCGTAGGTACCATATAACAAATCAAATTATTCCATAAATGGAACACGAGTGTGTTTTTGGCAATCTATTACCATACGTGCGTATCAAAAATGAAGTTAGACATGCGAACATTCTGYGATTTYCAGTCAATTCCAAATTGCCAGTKTTAGAATAATATCAACAGTTCACCCAGTTTATATATGTGTTGCCTTTTATTTCKGATGATTTAAATATGAATTCAAACATAAAAACGTATAGTRAAAAAATGTGGTTATTATATTTTTAGGGAATTTGTTGAAATATAAAAGTGTTGAAGATATTTTTTGTGTGTAATTTTTTTTTTTTAATTTTCAAAAGTTTATTTATTCTTTTAAAATATTTAAATATATAGTGCTTCAATTACATCATCAAATATGGCTGATGTAAATAGAATAATTAAACTTGATAGAGTGTACAAGAATTTGGATTATTTGAAAATAACGTTACCCAGCGATCCAGATTGGCAGTTGAGTACTTATAAAAAATTAGTAGAAAAGCAAAGAGATATGAGCAAGCAAGAAAATATGTAAGTTTACTTGATTCTGGATATAACTATCAAAGTAGATGGTTTAATGTTGATATGCCAAAATATGATAAATAAATTGATATAATTATTRGTGTTATTTTCTAGTTTATACATAMTATATACCTAGGTACCTAGTTATAGAAAAGTATTCGTTATTATTTTATTTAGTTGAGTAAGTATTTACATTTKTATATAGTCGTGTATAAAATCATGATCTGTGTTTTAATTGAATTTAATCATCTGTCCCTATACTTATAAATTATAATATATTTTTTTATAGTTGTTAAACGGAACCTTATCCAAATGATAGATTAAGTAGTACATAATATAAAATTATTGTCARTTAATATTCCCTATAAAAAATTTAAAGCTWTACATTTATTGGAAGAAAAATGTTAATAAGAGATAATTGTATTTAATGTTAACTGAATATCTTGTGAAGGGTAATTATATAATACGCGGAATACAAACTTAGAAGTAATTAATTATATAGAATTTATGAGACAAAAAAAGTATTTTAATCATAATTTACTTATATGGATGTTTTGAATAGCTGTTTATTATATTTGTTTTTAGATTGTCCTCTTAGAACTTCTTTGTAGAAGTCATTCTTGGTAACATATATTAGCTAGTGTCAGTGACCAGTATTGGTCGTTTTTGATAGTTGATATATTAAAAAAAAATTTTTTTCAATTAATTTAAAACAAGCACACTTATTAATGATCCAAGTACTTTCACTTTAACTTTCATCTAGTATTTGTTGGAAAAAATGATCAAAATAGAAAATTATAATAATTTCATATATAAATAAATTATTACCATGTATAACACTTRCATATACTTATTAGGATAGATGATCCAGTTTCAATGGCATCATCGTTAAAAATTGGATATTTATTCGAAACTGCATTTCATAAACCTCCAAAAGAAACCAACGAATTATTAGATGAGGATTACGTATTGGAATTCGAAAAGGATATAGTTGTCGAAGAGTTCGACCGAAATACTGAGCTCTGGACAAACCGTGAAGTGCTGCTTGCGGCTAAAGTTCTAAGTGCAAAAAATCCTAAGAAACATGGTATAAAATTTGCTTCAGACAACCAGATGAGGAGAGTGTATGACATAATATTTGAAGTATTTAGATGTAAGGTTAAAACTATATATATATTTTTGAACTATGATTTCTGTTAAATATTGATGTGATTAATAGATACTCTTGTCATATTAAATTTAAAAAATATTTTTATTTTTTTTTAAATTAACTAACAAAAAAATAATTAAAATTACGATTAAACGGTACTAGACATATTATTACTTATTATTATTTCGTTTCTGCAGGGACTTTATTGGTCTACAATACGCTTGAGTGGGGAGGAAGCTTTTCTACCCAAAAAATAAATTTTTATCGATATTTATAGGAAAAAAAACTAAAAACTTTGAAAAATTAAAATGTCAGTAAACAGCTGAAAACAAATCAAAATATTTTGAAAATTTTATCAACAATAGAAAATGCCTATTATATAAACATTCAGTGAAAATTTCAAGTATCTGCGTATAATAAATTTAATGTATAAACGTGATATGCTATTAAATAAACTATTTATAGTCATTATAATCAAGGATGTGAATTTGTGAATTTAATGCATTCGYGTGTTTTATTTGTCACTTATTAGAAAAAATGAAGACCGGCCATAATTTATTTTACAGCAGTACCTAGATAACTACCTAGTTCTTTCGTGCATAGATACTCATAGTAATATTTTCCTGTATATTTTTACATACTTAAAGTTTTAAGCATATTATTGCTATTAGTATGCCTAATAGTCGTGTAATTTAAAAAAATAAAATAATARAATTTTTTATCCATTGTGATTAAAAATGTAGTGAGGGATGACCGGTAAATGATGCGATGCCCCTTCGTTTTCTTAAATTATTAACCATTAATAAATGTATTCATGTTAACACTTTATATAATATAGTAATCCTGAAATCTTAGAATTGTAAAATTAGGAAAAATATATTAAAGTATTAGGTATTATTTATATTATAATGTGTTATGTGTACACCATATACTATTTTGTATACATACAGAATAAAAACGACTAAAAAAATATGAATTATATTAAACGCACACAGAAGTATAAATTATAGGTTGAAGTAATATTCATACATGACGCTTTAAAAATATACATCTAAATAATATGTCCTAATGACTAATATACAATAAATATAAGCATAAAAAAGAGGCAAAGAAAACTACTRGTCACAGAAACAGSCCATTCTCTTTGAACGCAAATTGMATTTTTTAGAATTATAAGAAATTTTAGATAACGTTAATTTTTAGTATGYTATAACATTTTTAWTCTTATTTTTAGATAGAACGATTATCAATGACATTTTAAATAATATTGATTTTGAAAACATCTACCCAAATGTAAGATTGTTTTTTCTATTTATATCTTTAACACGCTCATTAATATATTTTAATTTTCATAAGTACTCCMAGATGACACTTCTTGTATGGCTGATATCTTTTGATTATTACCGTAATAAATTTAAGCCAAGAAAATTTGATGAAAAGGAAATATCGAGTTTYAAAAAATTACAATTGATTGAAATAGCTGACATTTTAAAAGAGATAAAAATTCAATTAGCCGCATCTTTTTCAAAATTTCGAATAAAACATTGTGCCTTATCACTGTCTGATATGTTACCAAGCCATTTACGTAATGAACGATTCAAAAAGTCTTCGGAAACAGTTATTAGTTGTTGGATAAACACATTCTTGACCAGGTGACTGCAATATTATATTATATACTAATTATATTATGTTAAATTTTTGAGTTAACTATTATTTGTTTTCACTTAAAGCACAGAGAATGTATTAACTGTATTAAGTAAATCAGGACTAACTCAAATGAAGAATTCTGAAGATTTACTACCCGAAACATTTAAAATGGATCATTTATTGCCTTATTTTATACACATTTATCCGAAAGAAAAATCAGAATTTTTAAAAAAAATACCACTGTTCCAGAAACATTTATTGATTTTACAGGTATTTATATAACATAAAACTAGAAATATAAATTAATAATTTATTCAATGAAATGTGAGGTAAAACTTCATAATGCTGTAGATATCTTAGAATTATTTTAATAACATTATTTATTTGTATTACTTATAGAATAACATGATGCTATAATACTATACATTATACAACTTAATATTTGAATAACTACTCCTGCACTTTCATGATTATTAATAGGTAGGTAGTTCTAAATTGTTAAGTAATATTTAGTTACATTTTGACTGAGGTATAATATGAATTTACTGTACCATATAGATCTAGGAACACCAAATTAAATGATTTTCTAAAAAATTATGTTTTGCTATTATAGCGTGTAATGTATATATTTCTTACTTGTTTACAGCTTGTGCATCATCGACGCAACTATAGACATTTGAACAAGGGGGTGCTTAACCACCAAGTTTTTTTGTGATATTATGGGACCTAACTTTTTAAACAATTTTTTAGGACGCTATAATTTTGATTTAGGGGGTACTAAAGACCCAAAGCACCCTCCTAGTTGTGTCAATGAGTTTGTTTATTTAAAAGTCAGAGTAAAATAATTATCTCGTTAGTTAAATATAATCTATAAGCATATTTAGAAAATATAAGCTAATATAATAAAAGYTAAGCTTTTACTTGGAAAAAAATGTATTTATTAGATTTAACATGTAATGTAGTAAGTTATTACATTATTTCTAATAACTGTATTTAGATTTACAATTAATTTGTTGAACAATATTTAATTTCAATTGTTACATGATATTTTTAAAATTACGCTAAGGTACTAATGCAGTAGGCAGGTACTAATATACCTATTATTACATATTATAGTATCAAGAAAGAATAATCTTAAAGTAAAACTTTTTAAAATATTGATGATTATAATTATTCAATCTTTTTGATTTATATATTAATATAGCAAAGTTTTATATAAATAATTCTTTTTTATGTCATGCCATAATTTTAATGTTATATTCAGGTATTTTGATGATGTTGATTTATAAAAATAATAAATAGCATGAATTAAACTATGTTTAAATATTGACGACTTAAATAAGATATGTATGCACAATTTTATTGATTATTTACCGAACTACGACTTATTCATCTTATCTATACGTTTAAAATGTTTATAAGTTGTAATCTATATACAATAGACTAGGTATATTATTAGTTTCACATTTTTTTAAGTCACCCGGTATATTAAACAATAATATATAACCATCTCTTTAACCTTAATATAATAAATAATGATTTGGCCATTAACCTTTTTTATAATCAGTAATCACTAATCTGCAGATAGTTGTAGACTTGTAGTGCACTTTGTTTTGAAAAAAAAATATAATAATCTTACTATGTATTATCAGAACAGTAATTTTCTAGTCGAATAATACATAATTACAAATACTTTTGTTCGAGAAAAAATAATATTAGCTCTTAGCGAAAAATATATAGATAGCAAATTTTAAGTAATTTTATCACATTAAGATAAAGACATTCACTTAAGAAATTACAATAATTACGATTATATCGATTACACGTACAAGCACTTGTCATTTGTGGTGTACTTAAACTATTTTGAGGATCACTATAATTAGTAAAGAAAAAAATTAGGTAGGTGCGTGTAAAAAGTTTTTATTATAAATTATAATACAAATAGTTTATTGACTTCAATGTATAAAATAAAAAATAAAATCAATTGATATTGTTATACATCGTCGTATTATTTACAATCATTATTTAATAGTGTCCAAACTATTTACATGATTTTTTTATCGTTATTTAAAAAATATACAYGATTAAAATAATAGCATTTGTTTAAACAATAGCATAATATATAGTATTAGAGAAAAATAATTTTTACAATCTATGCTGACTTTTTGAAAACTAGAATACTCTGTTTGCACYAAAATCAATGTACACAGTGCTTTAATAAAAAMAAAAATCACTCTTACAATTGAGTTATAGCAATGATATTTTTAATAAACGACGACTGCAGTATTTTCGAGCAAATGCGCATTTACAGCCTTTGCAAAAAAAAAATAAAACATTAACGATATTTTCAGTATTTTCGAGCAATATTGCACCTTTCGCGGCCTTTACAAAAAATATAAACGTAGAGAGATTTTTTCTCTTACACAGAACATCGTSCCACCATGACTATAAATTATAATAATATTATATTGTGTATATATATATGACGTATGTATAACTTTCTACACATCCGACGTATTTGGCAAGTCGTAAAAATATTGTGCGGGTGCTCGAATCGTATTCGTACAAACCGGRTGGTCACCACTCACCCACATCTACCTCCGCTATACCTCCACCATCAGTGGTTGAACTCGATGGCGTACAGTCGTTTAGACCAAATCGTCAGTCTTTCTGAGCTGGGCCTGTATGGCGGCGAATGTCTTGCCCTTGGTCTCGGGAAGCCACAGGAAGCAGCTGATTATGGAGGTGAGGCTGAACAGCGACGATATCAGATAATTGCGGTACATGCCGCCATCGTCGGCCAGCACGGGGTAGATCTTGAGGGCCAGGAACGACGCGACGGTCAGGGTGATAGTGTTGACCGCGTTGGCTATGGACCGGGTGTTGGACGGGAACAGCTCACAGTTGATGGTGGACAGCAGCGAGCCAAGGCCCAGCGTGTGCGCGATGGACAGCCCGCCGACGGCCAGCACGCATAGCCACCCGTAATCGGTGACGTCGTACGTGGTGCACCTGTCCACGTAAAAGTACGCGAATATGGCCGAGTCGAACGCGAAGCACGAAGCGCACGACACGATCATTAGCGGCCTGCGTCCCACCCGGTCTGCCAGCAAGGTGGACGGCAACGCAGAAAACAGCACCGAGCACGCGAATACCAGCGACAGCTTGTTGGAGTCGACGGCCACGTGCATCTCCGCGAACGTGATGGACGCATACGATATGAGCGCGGTGACGCCAGCCATCACCCGGAACACGGACAGGCCCTGCACGATGATGAGCGCTTTAAGGCTCACCCAGTCGGTGAACAGTTCGGTGAAGGATGCGTTTCGCATTTCCTTGCATATGCACTCGACTACGACGTCCATCTCGTCGTCCACGGTACTGCCGGTTTCGTCACCGCGCAGCCAGACCAGCGCTTGTTTGGCGTCCGCCAGGCGGTTCTTCATCACGTAAAAGTGCGGCGATTCCGGTATGGCAGCGAACAGTGCGCAGAACACCACCGGTCCCGCCATCGCTGCGTACGTGAGCCGCGTGTAGTCCAGGTACATACCGGCCGCGTACACGTACARTATGCCCACGTACATCATTATCTGAAACATCGTGCCCAGAGCGCCCCTGATCTTCGGCCCGGCGATCTCGCCCGCGTACACCGGCAGCACCGTGTACGCGCCGGCCGCCAGTAAGCCCTGCGCGAACCGCACGGCCAACAGCCCCTGAAATGTGTCGACGTACAACAGAGCCACCCACGTGGCTAGCGCCATTGGCCCGATGATCTGTAGGCTGGGTTTTCGGCCCCACCGGTCAGCCAGCACGCCGAATGGCAACGACCCTAAAATCAGGCCCCAGTCGATGACAGATACGAACCATGAGCTCTCGTCCACCGTCATCGGGATCGGGCTGTCAGGTCCCAGAAGTTCCTCCATGATCGGCGAAGTCCAGCCGAGTATGATGCCCACGTTCATTATGGACAGTGACCCTGCAGCACACGTAATACAATATATTGATATATTTTATTATAATCATTGTATTATGACATAATATGCTCGACGACATAATGCGCTGGTGATCCGTTTAACGTATACTCGATATTTTAAAACTATTAACGTTTTTGATAATATTTTTATACTAAATAAAGATGATTTTATTTGGCATATACATTTATTATTTATGATTTGGATATAAAAGGATAGTGAATTTGCATTTAGGGCTTACCTTTCAAGAGGTTTTATGTATTTRTATACATTTTCCAGGTAAGTTTTATGTTAATAAGGTCATAAAGATATTGAGGTGCATAAAGTAGTGAATAATTAGATTAATAATTTATAATCATAATGCGAATATAGTTTTAAACACATTTTTTAATGCTTGTTTAATAATTAATAATTATCTAAATAGTACGTATTATGTATATAATAAGTGCTTTTTTAATATTTGTTCTTAATAATAAAGATAATAAAAACATTATATATAACATAGGCATGTAGGTACTAAGTATTGTACGTAATAAAATGATTTGGTTCGATTTAAAAATAAATAATAAAAAATGTGTTTATTGAAATGTAGCTTATTATCAAGAAAAGTTTTAGGTATTTCATATTTTAAGTAATCAGTTGGTACTTTTTAAAATAATTTTTAATTGATAAATTATTAAATATTAAATGAACTAGATATTGCCATTTAAAATTTTAATCAAATCTCATGATTTTGTTGCATATTATACCATATACTTTATATTTATTAATTATTTATAAACGTAGGTCAACTATAGAATTAGCCAATTTGTATTTATTTAGTTAATATGTACTTTACTAGACTTTAGACTTTTTATGTAAAGTTTATGTCATCATTATTTCTTATCTTGGGGTTATTACTATAAACTACAATAGGTACCTACTTATATTAATACATGTAACATGTATACATTTGTTATTTTTATCATTCTGTCTAGGACTTCTGAAGATTAAAAAAAGCTATAAACATCAGACAAAAAAATTAGTCTAACTTTGAAGTATTAACATTTCTCATTTACTATAACCCTAATAATACCTATCACGTTCTTATAATATACAAAATTCGATGTTGTATAAAAATACATAATATAATATAAATAGTTAGAGAATCGGTCTGTCCACTCGAGTTTGATTATTGATTAATATAGTTGTRKATAGAAACTAAATTAAAAATTACACAACACAATAATTAATAATGATAAATATTCTAAGAGATTAATTTAAAACGCATTTCTTAATACATCCGCCAGTCTTATATGATCAAGTAGGTACATAGATAATAATAGTAATGCATTGTTTATTTAAATAGTATTTCGCTTCTGGATATACTATGTAGGTATGTACTTACTAGTAAATAAGTTATAATTAATAATTATATATGATGCATTCACTTAAAAATACAATTTTGTGATTATAACACTTATCATTMTCAACTATCAAGAGTTAAGTAGTTAAACTACATTAGATGTAATTGATTAAAATTATTTATCAGAAATAGAATTGACAAAATAATAATATGTTTTAAAGTGGTACCTGAAGTATCTGACAATAAAAAAATTCTTATTGAAAATAATATGTGTACCTTGTTGGTTCCACTTTAAAATTTTAAAATTTTAAATATATTTTGACTTTTGGTATTTAACTTTTTTTGATTAAATTCTTAACTAACAATAATAACTACACTTAATTGATTGATTGATATTATATTACATTAATTTGGAAACATCTTCAACATCGTACTTGGGAGATATACTTAAGATACCTAATTTAAAATTGACTCTTTTACGATTTATTATCAGTTATCTATAATATATTAAATTTAATTGTAAGTTTGTAACCAGTATTTTGTCCTTATTTTTTCGACTAAACTATCGCAATCAAATAATAAATATTTACATTGTATTGATTTTGTTTAATTTAATCAATGTATGAAATAAAAAAATATTGGATACTAATATTTTTGAATATTCTTTCAAATTTAACGATAATTTATTTGTAATTCAAAATATATTAAATATAGAGATTTTATATTTCTTGAGCATTATAAAAATGTTGAAAAATCACTTAATTTAATTATTTGTCTTATTTACTTTCTAGCAAGCAAAAAATTGCATAGCTCTGTGAAAATAATGGCTATATGGTGTTAATTTATATATGGCTATATCGTTCCACTGAATCTCAAATAGATATTAAAGTAGATATTTTTTGTATACAAAACTATGATAAAAAATGGTTTATTACTTTTTTACGGCTGTGATAGTTTAAATAAATTATTAAAAGTCAACTAAGTAAAATTTTATCGTTTATTTAAATTACACTGGATTTACCTGATGAGTCCAAAAGGTGTGGCCTGATAAATAATGATGGATAGTATAGGACGGTAAATTATTATACAAAAGTTCAATATTTCTGATGATGCAATTCGATTTTTCTTACCTGCAGTTGCGGCCAAAAATTGTCTCAAGATTCCTTTGTTTATCATTTTGTTTTTGTTCTTATATTTGTTGAGATTAAAACCGTTCGCAAATAAAAAAATAACTTTGTGAACAATAAAAAATGTTTACATAGATAATCGTCCAAGTTCGTCGAGCACAATTTTTGCGACTGTTACAGTCTTTTGGTAATAGTGTCGGCTAGTTTTTTTTCACTAACTATTTATTGTTATAAACATTATTGTCGCACGCATATGTGGCTGTATTCAAGAAGTATAAGACAGATTGACGGCTTGGACGAATGTAGAATACCGAGTGGCACCATAGGTCAGGCTCGGACACTTATCGGGACGGACTTCTTATCAGTTATCTTTGAACTTGCGAAAACCGACGAGTATTGACGACTATACAACATGAAATATTAAATCTAAACGATAAAATAATCCCTTTACTGACGAGTGTCACGTGTTACGTTATAAAAAATATAAACTATGACAATTACACCTATAACTTTWAATGCGTTTAAAGCATAATATAATATTCTGTGTACATCAATTTATATAAAAATAACAATTTAATATTTCGTTAGGTTAGGGTAATCTTTTGATATTGATTTTATCTGATTTACGAAATTAATTACATCTATAGTGCGCATTAAATTATTTTAATTCCTTATCATTCAATTCATATTTTGAAAGTTCTCTCTATGTAATAAGTTTCGGCACTATTATAGTTACTAATAAACAATAATGTATATAACCTCCCACAATACTAAATTAATTTTAATATTAATAAATATATATATTTAATTGTTTGATTATCCTTATCTATACAATATTATTCGCGTTATGATTASCTGCAGATGTTGATATACATAAAATATAAAAACAGAATATATTGATTTGTTTTGAAATATTCAATATTTCTACTAGACACTATAGTTGTACAATGTCTACTATACATTTTCCATTTCTTTTACACATTCTCAGACCACGTGTATTATAAATGAGAATTCGAATAGGGAAATGATAAAATATGTGAAATGTAGGATGAGATAATGTTTCTTTTTGAACTGTTAAAGTGTAGGTTCTACTAGACCGAAATGACACACTGAATCAGGAGTATTACATTATTATTATATATTATGATTACAGTAAACTCTTGATAATTTATCTAATAAGTTTCTAAGACAACCAGGGACAAGTGAATTTCGAGATTAATCTGCAAAATAGAAATTGAAAAAAAATTCAACAAATAAATTATCAGAAAATTATGTTATGTAGTATTAAATACTAAATAGTATTTAAAGAAAATTAGATCAGTATACACGTTGTGCTTTAATTCAAACATTCGTGTATAATATAATATTCATTTAATCATATTATGTACCTTGTACCTTTATATACTGTAATATGTAATATTTACATACATTTTTGGCAAATACTTATATATATATATATATATTGTATAGACTATATTTTTAAAACTATACTTAGTTCTATGGATAGCGCATATTATATAAATCAACCGGTTCAATCTATATTTTGACTTCGTAGTTTTTTAGGCTTGTCCTGTATGGTCGTATTTATGTATGAATAAAATTAATATAAAACCCACCATTGAATTCATGTCATCGGGGTAAACACTTTAAGAGGTATATAGTTTAATATCAGAATCATTATATCAATAACAATATGTATGTACTTACGAATGACGCATTATGACGTGGGCATAAGATACCTAACTGGATGCCACCGATCGGTGATCACGGAGGATTTTCTGGACACCACTACATTAGRCAGCTCGATTTTGACGATGCRGACGAAAGCTCTGTTCACCTATATACCCGAGTGGCCACGCTTGTACGTGCAGATGAACGACCGGCTATAGTGACGACACCGGCAGTACGGTTGACGACGAAATTGATTAGATCGCGACTCATGCCTAAGTGTATAATATATGCTAGTATATATTAGTATGTACTATATAGCAATGTTATAACTGAAAAGGGTATGTGCAACACAAGGATAACATTTGTGAAATGGGTKGAAAGRTTCGCTTAAGCACTACTTTTTTTCTGAATTTATTGGCCCTCCGCATAAAATTCACCAATGTAAATCGGCAGATAGCCAATAGGTACCTAAAAGTTGAAATATATATCACGAAACCCACAATTCGTATAATATGATATATTGATAGCATAGTATTGTTAAGAATAAAAATATCTATTTCCAACTTTCGTCTTTCCATTTTTCTTAATTCATTAAAATATTAAATTCATAAAACCCTTTTATTCCGTGCGCATGCGTCAGACAAACAATACAATGCTCGCATATTTACTACGACGAAGAAAAAGTGGCCCCCTAAACTTTTAGTACCGTGGTACATTGTAATTTAAAAAATCTCAAACTCACGAATCTTTCACTGAGCTGTTCACCGACTGGCCTCGATCAGCCACCGTGCATGGCCTGTCCATGTTTTATGCGATGGTCGGCTCATAATATCTTATAAGYGTCAATCGCGTACGCGCAGATATACACGTGACCCGAATACTATAGCATRCATTGTCTTGTCGATTTGGTTGATCCGATGGGTCGCCTGCTACGCATCATAAATCATGATCAGTGGACGTCTTAATTTGCATTATAAATGCGGCGTCGCGGCCATATTCGTGTATCTTTACGTGGACTCGTGTACGGTGGAACTGAGTACAAGTGGCTGTGCGTGGTGGCGGTCGGCTTGCTACTGTCCACCAATCACCATCATCAACTTTGAGCTGTTCCCGTCCTGCAACACCCATAACCAACGCTATTATTGCTGATCGTCACGTCTTTCGTAGCCCTCGAGATATATCCAGGCACCACTTCTCCATTGGGCACTTAGGGCACATGTCCGGGGCCCCTAGCTCCTGATAAATCACCAACCAATAAAAGATATTTATTGCCGATAAATAAACTTGTTTCGAAAAAAATCAAAGGATATAATCACTAATGTAGTCATAATAATACAGTCGACGCGAGTTGGTCGTCCATCGTAGGGGTCCCATTATAATATCACTGCCCAGGGTCTCAAAAAGGTCAAAGACGGTTCTAGATATATCGATTCTGTGCTAACGGGTGTTACCGATTTGCGCCAAAAAAAAGTTATGTTTTTTCAGACAGTCTATTTGCGCCAAATTYACCTGGTATAATAAATCATATAACTAAGTAATATATTTTTTCTCAAATAATAATTAATATAATTTTATTTAAATCATAGTTAATTATACGAATGTTTTTAAAATAATATCAATAATACACATTTTTTTGAAACAATAATTAGATTTAATACAAATTGTTTTTAAAAACTATATACTTAACTACTATAATTTATAACAAATAAGTGATAATATTTTTTATTGATTATAATATATAATAATATATATAATTTGCTTTATAATATATTACTTAGGTGAATTTATATTTATATTACATTTAACACATTTTATTAAAATAAAAATTAATGTTTGCAACATACCATGCTTTTTTATAATTTTTCCACCTTGAATTAATATTTTTGTTGGACATATTTTATTTGAACAACGCCACCGTTCAACATTTTTTTGAAGATATATACACTAAAATATACTTATGGCCATTTTCAACAACCATTTTCTTCCTTCTTGTGCTTGTCGTGAACTCTATTCTTATAATTTTATAATTCAAATAATTATCATTAATAAATTAATTCTAAAATGTTATTTGGTGTAACATTACGGCTGTCTGATGAAATCACACTGCGAACGTTCTTTTGACGAATAACGATACATATATCCGGTAACAGAGTACCCMGATCGTACAACATAATAAAACTGATATAAAACTTGTTTGTTTATCTTTCAACGCAATAATATACAAAGCTTTAAAATCTATAGATTTAAAAAAATAACTTTACTATACGTTAGAGACACGACGTCTTTAAAATATAAGAWATAACCAAGTCGTTAATTTAAAATGTTTACGCAGGTAAATTTGGCGCAAATGGATTGTCTGAAAAATATACCTTTTTTATTTTGGCGCAAATGAGATGAACCTGCAAAAACGAATTAATTTTTTTTTGGCGCAAATGGGCGATGCCCGTACTTACAGTCTTGCCGATAACGGTACATGCGGTTAGGTTAGGCTACATGCGTACCACAACTATCTGATATAGTTTTTGTTCAGCCTCAAGACCATATAGTCAGGTAGCCCGAGACCAAAAACGCTAGCCCCCATGCAGGTCCAGGAACTCGGACTGAGTTCATTCGTTTCTGATGGACGATAAAGAGAAGAATGATGATTAATGATGACGATGAGATATAGAAGAGAAGGAGGAAGATGATGATTTCGAGTTTTTGGTTGAAAATGTTAAAATTAAGTACGTACTTACTATTAAGAAGTTTTRAATTTTTATTTGGAGTTCCAAGCTGACTAACTTCTTCTACATAAATTATATATATACCTAATATAAATGTACGTATTCAATTAGGTATATTATACAATATATTTATTTGTTACATATTGCATGCCATTTAAAGGCTATTATTTCTTATAGTCTGTATATTGTTCAAATCTATATACTCAATTTTCGGTTAAATTCATTGGATATATTATGTATTTATATACTTCTGTTAACATAATATCTAATGTACGTGTAAACTGCTATATAATATTATAATTTATAATATATGATGTTTAAATATGTTATAATATTATTCGTATTTTTGAAGTACATTTTATTATAGATGTTTATTATTGTATTGCGTGTTGCCAATATCATGGTGTAAACATTAGTTATGTGTATAAAGTATAACAAAGTTTCTAATCTTTTAAATAATAAATGTCAAACTTAAAGGTAATAGCGAGCGTAATACGTATTTTATTACGTTTAATTTATGTCAAAGTGGTGAATGATTTAATGCTTCAATAAATTATCTATTTATCTGAGTGCAAATCAAATTTATCTATAAGCTGCGCTAATAACTAATAATATATAGATAGGTATATGGGCAATAAGTACGTAATATATATTAATACGTTAGTACCTATTGAATTATTGTTTAGGTACATAAAAAACCCTGCAAAAAATGTGGAATGTTACGATTTACGAGTATATTAGTGTTGTTTTTACATTATGGTTCATTATTTATTTTGTTATTTAATTCCAATAAAAGCAAAGCTGTTGTCAGTGTTTTATGTATTACCTATACCTGCTATTTTAGCTGCCTGTAATAATTATCANTTAGACTTTTTATGTAAAGTTTATGTCATCATTATTTCTTATCTTGGGGTTATTACTATAAACTACAATAGGTACCTACTTATATTAATACAT